CCTGCCATGGTCCTGCTAGATTGCCATTGCCAATACTGTTGTTGCTGTGCACCTGTCTGTCTGTCTGTCTCTCTGCACATGATGTTTGAGTTTTTATAGACACCTTTTTCCTGTGGCATCGTCATCAAATGGGCAAGGATACAGATTTCAAGGAATTCCTGGATGTGTTAATAATCAATAAGTCATAAAATGTTTAAAAAAGTAGTTTATAACATCAGAATCAGAATCAGAATTTGTTTATTGCCAAGTAGGTTTTTATGCCTACGAGGAATGTGACCTGGTGCAGTTGGTGCATAAAAATATATACATATACAAATACAAATATACAAATATACAATTATTCAAATTCAAATCACACAGAAATCACACAGAAATCACATAGAAAAATAAAGTACTTTCAAAAAATAAATAGATAAAGATAAGAAGAGAAAGAGAAAGAGAAAGCTGTGCAGAAGAACGTGGGTGCAATGTAATGCATACTTTATATACAGGGTGGGTATAAGAGTCAATGACAGTGGGTAATCCGGGCCTTGTTAAGGAGGCCAGCTGCCGACGGGAAGAAACTGTTTTTATGGCGAGACGTTTTAGTCCTGATGGACCGCAGCCTCCTGCCAGAGGGAAGTATCTCAAAGAGATTGTGACCGGGGTGGGAGGGGTCAGCCACAATCTTACCTGCACGCTTCCTGGTCCTAGAGGCGTACAGGTCCTGGAGGGATGGCAGATTGCAGCCGATCACCTTCTCAGCTGATCGAATGATACGCTGCAGTCTGCCCTTGTCCTTGGCAGTGGCCGCAGCGTACCAGATGGTGATAGATGAGGTGAGGATGGACTCGATGATGGCAGTGTAGAAGTGCATCATCATCGTCTTTGGCAGGTTGAACTTCTTCAGCTGCCGCAAGAAGTACATCCTCTGCTGGGCTTTCTTAGAGAGGGAGCTGATGTTCAGCTCCCACTTGAGGTCCTGGGTGATAATGGTACCCAGAAAGCGGAAGGACTCCACAGAGTCAACTGGGGAGTCACACAGGATGATGGGGGCGGGTGGGGCTGGGTTCTTCCTAAAGTCTACAACCATCTCCACTGTTTTCAGAGCGTTTAGCTCCAGGTTGTTCTGGCTGCACCAGGTCACCAGATGGTCAATCTCCCATCTGTAGGCGGACTCATCTCCACCAGAGATGAGCCCAATGAGGGAGGTGTCATCCGCGAACTTCAGGAGCCTGACGGACTGGTGACTGGAGGTGCAGCTGTTAGTATACAGGGAGAAGAGCAGAGGAGAAAGAACGCAGCCCTGAGGGGATCCGGTGCTGATGGTCTGGGAGTCAGAGACATTTTTCCCCAGCTTCACGTGCTGTTTCCTGTCAGACAGGAAGTCTGTGATTCACCTGCAGGTGGAGTCAGGCACAGTGAGCTGGGAGAGCTTGTGAGGGAGCAGAGCAGGGATGATGGTGTTGAACACAGAGCTGAAGTCCACAAACAGGATCCTGGCGTAGGTTCCTGGGGAGTCCAGATGCTGGAGGGTGAAGTGCAGGGCCATGTTTACTGCGTCGTCTACAGACCTGTTGGCTCTGTAGGTGAACTGCAGGGGGTCCAGGAGAGGGTCCGTTATGGCTTTCAGATGGGAGAGCACAAGGCGCTCAAAAGACTTCATGACCACAGAGGTGAGGGCAACAGGTCTGTAGTCATTTAGTCCTGTGGTCCTTGCTTTCTTGGGGACAGGGATGATGGTGGATGCTTTGAAGCAGGCTGGCACATGACATATCTCCAAAGAGGTGTTGAAGATGTCAGTGAACACCGGAGACAGCTGGTCAGCACAGTGCTTCAGGGTGGATGGAGAGACAGAATCTGGTCCGGCTGCTTTGCGGGGGTTCTGCCTCTTGAAGAGTCTGTTGACGTCCCTCTCTTGGAGGCAGAGAGTCGTCACTGTGGTGGAGGAGGAGGGATTCACAGAGGTGTGAAGCTGTGAAGTGGCCTCAGCTCCTGCTGGGCTGGGGGGGGAGGGACTGGTGAGGTGGGGCTGGTGAGGGGTGTCACGGGGGATGGTGTCAGGACTGCTCCTTTGTCTGTCGAAGCGGCAGTAGAACTCATTCAGCTCGTTTGCCAGGCGCAGATCATTGATGGAGTGAGGGGTTTTGGGCTTGTAGTTAGTTATCTGTCTGAGCCCCTTCCAGACAGAACCAGAGTCATTGGCTGAGAACTGATGTTGAAGTTTCTCAGAGTACTGACTATAGCTTCTCTCACCGCCTTTCTAAACTTGTACTTAGACTCCTTAAACTTGTCCCTGTCCCGACTCCTGAACGCTTGCTCCTTCTGCAACCGTAGTTGAATGAGTTTGGCTGTGAACCAAGGTTTGTTGTTGTTGTAACTCACCCAGGTGCGTGATGGTACACAGCAGTCCTCACAGAAGCTGATATATGATGTCACAGCCTCTGTGTACTCATCCAGACTGTTAGTAGCAGTCCTGAACACATCCCAGTCAGTAGAGTCCAAGCACGCCTGGAGATTGACCACAATGTCCAATAATTCCACGGAAGAAATAAGAAAAGTGGGAAAGAGATCAGCTGGAGTTGTTCCTCTGATGTTCATGAGCTCTTCTCTAGTAAAAGAGCCCCGGGTATCACAGCCGAAAACTGAATTAACAAACAAAACAAGAAAAAACACTGTGCACCAACACACCGAGGCGGCCGTACGTGGCCATCTTGTTATTATCAACATTTATCTTTATGTACTACTGGTAACATCCAAGTACTCTGAGTGAGAACATCTGTTATTACCAGTTAAACAGAAAATAGGTATTCCTGGTAACAGACAACAGACTGAAGATAACAAGCGTATAAAGCATGTAATATGTAAGCGTTTAATTCAATGCCATGTTACACGTGAAACAAAAAGAAAAAAACCTAACTTCCCTTGTCCTGTGACTATTTTGCTTAAAGGAACATATTTTCACAGACACAAAAATGATTCTATCACCTGACAACAGCAAGTAAATGAAAAAGAAAAAACTGTTCCTCAAATAACTGCGTGAGTGTCCACAAGGAGCCCAAAACAGGGAACCCTTGGTCCTGATGTCAGTACACAGGGAACCCCCCTACTACTACTAGTACTACGCTGGCATCTAGGGAAGGTTCATACTCATAACAACGCGCTCCACATTAACAAGCAAAAAGTCACCAAACTCATTGATTAAACACTGCTCACATGTTCTTAAACTGGACGAGCCCCCGATTTGCTTAATTAAATTAAATAATTCTCTCTTAAGGGTTTCATAAGATAAGATTTTAAGATGGGGGTTATTTCGTCAAGAAAATAATCACTATGGTCCCTTAGGTCCTTACATGTATTCATTAGAAGATGTATAATATGTGAGATCCCTTCATTCCAGGAAATATGAGTTGGAAATAAGAGTGTCCATTTTTGAGCCAGAAATGTTTTAGAGGATATCAAATAGCAGGGGTGGAAATAACTAATTACAACTGCTCACATTACTGTAATGAAGTCATACGTTGGTGTATTTTACTTTTCTTTTTTTACTTTTTATTGTAAGTATTTTTTAAGCATGTAATTGTTCTGTTAAAATCCAGAAAGCTGTTTGCTTCCAGAGACCTGTAAAAACAGTCAGACAGGTGGGTTTCTTTTGCTGGTTTTGGCTCTTGCCACCCTGGGGCTAAGTCAGCTAACGTTAGCTGCACGAGCTAACAGCATCTAGCATTACTGTTGGTGACAGTTTATTCTTAGCAACGAGTCCATCAGGAAACTCCATCAATCACCTCGGTACCGCTGTCGTCAAATGGTCCTCTGTCTGTCTCGGAGGTTGTGTTCACTGGGAGGCTGCTGATATTATTGGTTGACATTAGTTAGTTCATGCATATGTAAGCATGCATCACATTTTGTCTTACAGGAAGGCAAAACTTTGGGATTTTGATATAAAAATACAAAGAAATTGAGTTTTGGGGAAATTTTTGGCATACATTGTTAAATAGGTGTACAATATGGGTGCGATCTTAAAGTGTTAAAATGCCAGTTTTCATTTCACCTGAACTTTAACTATTAATTACAATATGTAATCTGCTTCACTACTGAGTTGGTGTGCTGTTTGAATTTCTCAAAGCTTATAAAGAAATCCAGCAGTGTGCCATGCAGTGTGTCAGTATGTCCTCTTTAGTTGTGTAGAACAGTAAACTGACTCAGTGACATATTTTATGGATATTTCATATTATATTATAAACTGTACAATAAACTCAAACAGTGAACTCAGTAACTGCCGGAAGTTTGTTTAAAACCAGTAATTTGGATTAATTGTGAGCAGATTATTTCCTGTTTAGGGAACTTTATTATACAATTCTGTTTGTAACATGTATTTTTTTAAATAATTTTAACAATCATACAGATTTAAAAGGCTTCTTTTTTGACAAATGTACTGTTTTCTTGTCCCTGACGTTTGAGCATTGTTCTATTAGACAATTAGTCAAAACAGTTGACTTAACATTCACATTTACTTGAACCAATTGCTGAGATATGGGCCTACTGTGTACATTTTCATTTAGTTTTCCTACATGCCTTAAAATGAAGAATACCTTTTGACCCCCCCATGAAGCTTTGGTGATCCCTAGCAGGGGTCCCAATACCCAGGTAGGAAACCACTGGTGTAGAATTTGTATGGCCTTGATAAGACTCAATCACAATCATTAATGCTTGCTGTAGAACGCCGATTTGATTTCATGTGCCAGTCCAAGGTAGATGTATGAATATCTTTGCATCCATACGTGAAAGATTGTGTTTTTCTTTGTCCAAACACACTATACATGAGAGTATATGAAGTGTTGGCATAAGTGGGGTGTTGAAAGTGGCTGGCTCAGAAACATTGTTATCCTTCATTTTGACAAGTAACTTTAATTAACAGCTTCATGCTGAGTTACTGGGATTTTCAGAATATACTAAAGAGTGCTGCTGTGCTGTTACAAGCAGCTTTCTTTTACAAAGAACTATGGGTCTGTGGAATATAGTACTGTCAGCCACATTATTTTATTTTACTGTATTTGTGGGTACATTAGATATTCACAGTATATACAACAGATCATGAATAGTATCTGCAAATCTCACACAACTTGAAAAAACAAATGAAATTGTATTCTCTTTAAAGTTGAATAAATCAAAGTTTTTTAGGAAATCACATGTAATGATGGAATGCCAAGTTTGGCCTTGGCTGGACGTGAGAGAAAAGGTGAGCGTTTCCACTGACAGCAGAGATTGTACATGAGAACAGGTCTAATGGTCTGGTCTCTGAGGCCATAGATGAGGGAACTCAGACACCTGGGAAGGATAATAATACAAATATAAAAAACAATCTGGATGCGCACAGTCATGACCCTGCCAAGGTTTTTGGAGATAGAGAATAGCAACGGATCGTGTATGGTTGAGGAGAGACTGAGGCCCAGCTGTACCAGATGCAGCAGCAGTGTGTTACGAGCCTTACGGGCTGAAGCTTTGTCTGTGGAGGCTGACCTGGCTGCTATCACCACACCAATATAGGAAGAAATAACTGCAACTCCAGCTGAAGCAAACACAAAACCAGTGTGTGCTTTGTCATGAATATTAGACATTGGGCCAAGAAGCATTGCTAGGTTAGTGCAAAAGTCTGTCATCTGCAGACTCTCCAGGTCTGAAAATGGAAAATCTAACAGCAAAAAAATTTTAATAAAGACATTTAATGAACTGAAGGCCCAAACCACAATGATAGCCACCCCTGTGTTTCTGATGGTGATGATGGTAGCGTGCCTCAGTGGGTAGCACACAGCTACATATCTCTCCAGACACATCACCACCAGTGTGAGAGGGGAGATCTGATTTGAGAGGTTGGTAAAAATGGTGAGAACACCACACACAGGATACGACATTGTTACTCTACAAGCAGCCAGTAGGTACATTAACTGACTCTGTGCCAACTGTACAGTGTCTCCAAAAAGGAGGTTATACAGAAGAATGTAACGAGAGGTCTCACGAAACACAGATTTACTCCTCAGGGTGAATAACATGGTCCCATTAATGAAGAGAAACACACATGATGGTACTGTAGTCAGAGTGGAGAACATCACTAATCCCAGTAACCCCTGATACTGCACACCAACAGTAAAGTTAATCTGAGACTGATTTACATCCAACATTTTACAAGCATTTAACAAACCAAAAATATTAACCTGTTGATGAAAATTGGAGCACAGAAGCAAAAGAAATTTTCTCCAGTTTGTATTCGGAACAGTGACAACATCTCATCGTTAGCGTTCACATTCTGAAACCCAAAGGCATTAACATACATTTTCCTTGTGCAGACAGTTGGCTTCCTTCCACACAGTCAGAGCCGGTCTGCAAATGATGTTTTAGTTTTTATAGACACCTTCTTCCTGTGGCATCGTCATCAAATGGGCAGGGTTACAGATTTCAAGGAATTCCTGGATGTGGTAATAATCAATAAGTCGTAAAATGTTTAAAAAAGTAGTTTATAACATTTATCTTTATATACTACTGGTACATCCAAGTACTCTGAGTGAGAACATCTGTTATTACCAGTTAAACAGAAAATAGGTATTACTGGTAACAGACAACAGACTGAAGATAACAAGCGTACAAAGCATGTAATATGTAAGCGTTTAATTCAATGCCATGTCTGAATATAACAGAGGACTGCTATAATAACTTTAGTCCCTCCTGAATTGATAATTTTGTTAAAGGCATACTATGAAGTTTTCCGGTTTTGTCAAACAGTTACCCCTAGAGTCGCTGCGGAGTACTTGTATTTAACGTTAACTGTCGTAAATACCACTCACCAGAGCCGTCTCTATATACGGCTCTGCGTCTCTGCACTCACGGCCTTATCCCCTCCCCCCTGTATACTGGTACATGTTCAGTAGGATGGAAGCGTCGGATATCGAACAGGCAAAGATAGACTCCGAAGATGTCTACTGACCAGGTAACGTCTGAGTGAATGCCTGCTAGTGTCTTCCATTGAGGCTGCTTCTTATGTCGCTGATGTATGTGACGTCGTGCAGTAAAGCCATTCGCCACCTTTCAGACTTGCATTGCTGGTTCTGCCAACGGCGTCCCTCTCCTGCTTTGCTATCGGGATGATTCGCTATACTACGAGTTTGTTTACCATCGAAATGACTTCAAAGCTGTTATATTACGGTAAAAATCTTGCATAGTGTGCCTTTAATAGTGCTGCAGGCTCACTGCGAACAACATTAGTTTCTATCGCACCTATAAAAAGGAAAATATTAAAACATAGGAGACTTGCACCGTGGTACAACCACCAAACCCGCCAATTAAAGCAAAAAGCGTGGAAATCTGAAAGGAAATGGTGCTCTTCGAAATTATTAGAATATCATTCAATTTGGCAAGATAATCTTAAAACCTATAGAAAGGCCCTCCGTAATGCCAAAGGAGCCTATTACTCAACACTAATAGAAGAAAATAAGAATAACCCTAGGTTCCTCTTCAGCACTGTAGCCAGGCTGACAGAGAGCCACAGCTCTATTGAGCCACATATCCCCATAAACTTAAGTAGCAATGACTTCATGAGCTTCTTCTATAATAAAATTATTACTATTAGAGAGAAAATTAATAACCAACTGCCCTCAACAGATATCACTGTCTCTCCAAGTTCAGGACTTTAACAAATGTAAAATCAGATATATAGTTAGACTGTTTTTCTGCTATCGATCTTCATCAGTTAACTTCAGTAATTTCTACATTGTAGCCATCAACCTGTCTGTTAGACACCATCCCAACTAGGCTGCTTAAAGAAGTCGTACACTTAATTGACACTTCTTTACCGGATATGATCAATCTTTCTTTATTATCAGGATATGTACCACAGTCTTTTAAAGTAGTTGTAATTAAACCCTTTCTTAAAAAGCCCACTCTTGATCCAGGGGTTTTAGGCAACTATATTTCTAACCTCCCCTTCATCTCTAAGATTCTGGAGAAAGTAGTCGCCAAAGAGTTGTGTGACTTTCTACATAACAATAGTTTATTTGAGGATTTTCAGTCAGGATTTAGAGTTCATCACAGCACAGAGATAGTTAATAATGACCTTTTGATTGCTTCTGACAATGGACTTGTCTCTGAACTTGTATTATTAGATCTAAGTGCTGCATTTGACACCATTAACCATAATAGTCTTTTACAGAGACTTGAACAGCTAATTGGCATTAAAGGAACCACACTAAGCTGGTATAAGTCCTATTTATCAGATCGTTCTCAGTTTGTACATATTAACAATGAATCCTCCATAAACACTAAAGTTAGTCATGGAGTTCCACAAGGTTCTGTGCTTGGACCAATTCTATTCACCTTGTATATGCTTCCCTTAGGCAATATTATTAGGAATCACTCCATTAACTTTCATTATGGTTCCTTAAGTCTCTAAAAGTAGAACAGGAGCCAGAGCCTTTAGCTACCAAGCTCCTCTCCTGTGCAACCAGCTTCCAGTTTGGGTTCGGGGGGCAGAAACCCTCTCCACATTTAAGAGAAGGTTTAAGATGTTCTACGCCCCTCTCCCTCTATATGGATTTTCATAACTAAGTTTGGGAACAAAGACCACGCCCCGAACTCTCCTAATTTCCGCTCAAAAAACATACTTAAGCACACCTTTTCCGTTCATTCCCTCCTTGACTCATATTCTACATGATCGGCGTCAGACAGGAAACACAAAAACATACCTCGAACCACGGAGTACAAGCTCACGCTCAACTCTTCAGACAGCGACATGTTTGAAGACGAATGACAAACTCACGAAATGCCCGAGTCCTCTTCCTCGCCTACCGCTCAACAATCCATGTGCTCCGACGCTCCCACCCTTCATCCACCGACAGCTCCAACACCATCGGGCCTTCGCCCCCCAACAGGTCCAGGGAAGTTCCCTGGTGTCCGACCGACCTCCCTCCTGCCAGCAGCCTCGGGCGAAGCTACCCCGACCCGACTTCACCTCGCCGTTTCTCTGGCCGTCACTCGGCCGTAAACTACAGTGACTTGCCCGAGGATCGCTCTCTCTCAGCGAAACACACCCTTCCAACGCACCGATAACAAAACGAAACTTTCCACGCACTTCCAGGAAAACACCACACTTCCTCTCCAAGCTTCACCGCCGCTTCCGGGTTCACGGCGCCGCGTCCTTGGCAACGCCGATGATGTCACGGCACATCCCACGGCCCAGGCTTCCTCATCAGCCCTCTCAGAGGGCCAGGTAGTATCAAACCCAGTACCTACCATTTCGCCTTCACAAACAACCTGAGCACAGGCATCCCTACATCCCAGCATCTTTTCCCCTTTCTCATTTCTAGCTTCCCTGTTCCGTCTTCTTCGGCTGCCTCTGCTCCTCCCATTCCAATACCAACCTTCTCAGGCGCACAGAGCGTGCCCACAAATACAATCCATGTATTTCTGGGCACGCTCCCAGCCACAAAACCTTTATTCTACTCCTGTTTCTTCATACGTAGCCCATGTTTCTCTTCCTTAACACGCCGCCTTTTTCCCCCACAGGTCCAATGTAGCTCAATCGTGGGCTTTCCTACCCATCCTCCAAGCAAAATAATTTCGATCCAGCCTCCGCATTACCTCCAGCATGGCCAATCCTTCCTATCATCCCTGTGTCACCACTCTCAGACGACAGATTTCCGTCTCTCATTACGTGGACATCGCAATTTAATTCTGCACGCTGAACTTTTTAACTAATCAGCGTGACATTAGTTTAGACTCATATGCATTGACATCGCCATTCAATACATCCGTCCGAACTTACCATCTCTTGTTTCGGCCCATCGGGACCCGGTCGTCCCTTCGTTCCAGTGTCTCCTCGCTTTCCCCGTTAATATTTAATGATAAATAATCTTTCATGGAAAATTCTTAAATTTGTATATGCAACATATTTCTTTTTACGTTCGTTCAAAATACAGATTCACTTCTTCTCCCAGGCAAGCAGGAAGCCTTGCAACGGCTAATAGTTATATTTCAGTCATCATCGTAACAATAGTTTACAGACTCATACACATCGACCTCGCCATTTATTACATCCGTCTGAAACTTATCATCTTTCGTTTTGGCCCATCCGGACCTGGTCATCCCTTAGTTCCAGGGTCTCCTCTCCTTCCCTGTTGATACTTATTTAAGGATAAATAATCTCTCATGGCAAATTCTTAAAACGTATATGCAATATATCTTCCCACTTTCATTCAATATACCGGTTTGCCTCTTAATTCAGGCAAGCAGGAAGCCCTGCAACAGTTATTGGTTTTATTTCAGAGCCATCATTGTAACATTAGTTTACACATGTAAATGCGTCGACTCATTCAATACATCCGTCTTAACTTGTATCTCTCGCTTTGGCCCACCGGGACCCTGTCCTCCCTTCATTCCAGGGTCACCTCTCCTTCCCTGTTTATATTTATTCAACAATAATTAATCTGTTATGGCAAATTCTTAAAACATGTACGCAATATCTTTCTACGTTCATTTAAAATACCGGTTCGCCTCTTAGTCCAGACAAGCTAAGAAGCCTTGCAACAGTTAAACATTTTTATTTCAGAGCCATCATTGTAACATTAGTTTTCAGACATATGCGCGTTGACCTCGCCATTCAATACATCCGTCCACAAGCAACCCTCATATCCACAGAGAACAGTTAAACTGCATTCAGTCCAATTGAACGCAAACAGCCACTATCTACCCACTCTACACAATGCATCGCAGTACAATTCACCTTCCTGTTCCCCTCTTTCCGCGACATTATTCGTTCATCGTTGCCCGATCGCAGATCAGAGCCGGACGGTTACACGCCTCTGATACTCGACCCAGCCCCGGGGCTCAGCAGCAAGGGAATCTACACATACCATATTCCGTTCGCATCACAAGGCGCCGGTTGCCTGCAACCAGTCAATCAGGGAACTTACGGGTGCTCACAATATCCAGAACTCTACTGCCACGTTCTCGCAGCTCACTCTTCCCTGAATCACAACCAACGAGGCGCGGTGCCCCGTCCCATCCAACCACAACACACACCCTCACAGCTGCTTTGACCCGAACCTTACCTCAAAACCAACGTAGCCCTGCTTTTTCCGACATATGCCCTAAACATCCCCCCCCCATCCATCACCCCCAAATCCGCAAACGTTCAACCACAGCTCTTGTTCCAAGGGCGTCGACAAGAGAAACAGACCAGTCCTCTACCATGCCAAGAGGCCGGTTCATAACAATTCCAACAACTTTAGAAGCAACATCTCAAGTTGCCATTTGCTCCTCACCTGCTCCTTCTGCAGCAGAGCACATGCAAGACCTGCATGTCCCCATAATCCAACTAAACACAGCCCGCATAAGTATCCGAATACACCAATAAAAATCAACGCTTGTGCCACCGCCTCAAAGAACCACCCAGATCGACAGGTTGTTAACCACCTACAACGATTTACACACAGTCTTTACCTAGGTTTACGGGTCAGATTCCTCATACATGCCACAACTCTGTCAGCCACCTCCGAGCCCGACATAGTTGATAAATTCCCAGACAGAGAAAATAAAGACGCATTCAAAATGGGTCCATTCCCCAGTCCACCGTTCCCTACATTCAGAATCAATCCAACCCACGTTGCTTCATGAACATGACACACCAGACGACGCAAATCATGGCACCAGTTCCTCCCACCACGTAATGGCATTTTATTCTTTTACGACTACCACATCACTAAGCTGGAACATGTCCAGCTATTCACATATGCAGCACCTCCCACCAAAGTTGCTAATTGTGGCAGGTGGTTTTCAGCCTAGTGGCTGCTTGACTTCTCATCCCTGCCTTCTTCCTCTGCTATCCGCGAAACGTACCCAGTAATCTTAGCAGTCATTCTTTGGGGTCACTAATGGTCCAATAAAATCATGACCACCACCATTCGACATCATAAACAAGGGACCAGTCCCACTGCCTTAACATAATGCAGTTCATACGGAAGCTTACCCTAGCTTCAGCACAGCATCAATTCATCACCCGAGATTCTTGCATCCCAGGTCTCAGAACGCAATCGCCGTCACGCTCTCGCTTCTCGTTACGTTAATTCAGACAATCGGCACTAGCCTCCGACGCTGTTCCAACTCCAGTCCCACCATCTTCAGCCTCCATCCTCTACCGACTCCCCTCAGATGGATAATTTGGTCGCCATTTTCTTTCACTCGATAGCTTCATCCCATTCGCTTCCATCGATAAAATCATCATACCCACGCAATCAGTTTCGACACATCTGCAAATCCTGTCCAAACCAGAATTTCCCCAAAGCCATACTCAGGGCGTTCCCTTGCATCCGAGCCACATCCACTGCTCCCAGGCAGGGAATCCCAGATATTGGCAATAAACCCCTTGGCAGATGGTCTTCTCGAGCATATCTCACGTACATCTGTTATAACCTAAAAAACGATATCAAACACGCTTACGAATCGAAGTCTTTTTGGGGGCTCTCTACAAGAGATACGAAGAGACAGTTCACCCACTCAGTTCCCTCTTACATTGCACCGAACCCCTCCATCCATTCAACCGACCTTCATTCCTCCTACCTTCATTCCTCCGACCTTCATTCCTCCAACCTCATCCATCCCTCATCCCTCGAACCTACCTCCTACCTTCATCCCTCGACCCTACCTTCATCCCTCGAACCTAGCTTCACCCCTCATCCCTCGAACCTACCTTCACCCCTCATCCCTCAGTATACCACATTGGTTCACATTTGTTCATTATGTGCAATAAACTTTTCTTATTTCATACATTCGATGGCGTGGTCGTTCCCTTCTCTTGACGTTATAACACTCTCTAGCTTCATCTCGTTTGCCCATTCCATCCTTAAAATATCTTACTTACATCCGCAACGACATAAACGACATCAAAAACGCTCATGCGCACCTGTCCTACTGAAGTTCCTTTGGGGGCTCTTGAAGAGTCAAAGAGACGGCTCCCCCACTCAGCATCTCAGCACCCTCTTTGTTCCATCCGACCAGTTTGCCGAACTTCTCCCATCGATCTACCTAACCAGTCTTTCCTCCCTTTCTATCAATCCTCACCCATCCTTCCCATACCCTCTCATCCCTCATCCCTCGACCCCTTCTCATCATCCCTCGACCCTTACCCCTTCATCCCTTCATCCCCTACACTCGTTAACCATTTTCCTCCCATAGCATTCCACATTCATTCATAAACGTGCAATAAACTTTTCTTAATCCATACAGCTGTTGGTGTGGTCTTTGTTAGTGAACTCTCTCTCTTTCTCTCTCTCTCTCTCTCTCTCTCTCGCGCCCACCAACCTAGAGTCGGGCTCTGTCCGAGGTTTCTGCCTCTTAAAAGAAAGTTTTTCCTTGCCACTGTCTCCAAGGTTTTGCTCATGGGAAGAACTGTTGGGTCTCTGTAAATAATGTTATAAGGAGTTCAGATCGAACTCAGCAAAGTGGTCCACTAGATCAGCGTTTCCCAGCGTTTTTTTTTTAAACTAACAAACTGTGGCAACACAGTTCACAGCGAGAATGAAGGTTTCTGAACATTTTGACCACTGATTCTGCATCTAGTCAGATTTTCATGAGCAGACATTTTGAAGAGATATACGTTTGATCAATCACAACTTCATCATGATCAAAGATTAACTCAAAGAAAGAAATTTTATTTGACAGAGGCTAAACTGGTTAACCAATAAGGCCGGCAGGAAACATTCTCACATATTAACTAATTAAGTTCTGGCCAACTGAGTATAAGCCAAGACGCTGGCAAGAACAGCCTAATGGGGGTCCATGGCACTGGGCAGCTGAGTCTCTATGGGAAATATTCTATTCCTACAAGTGAGTCAGTTCAAAAGTTAAACGTGAAAAAAAAAGAAAAAAACCTAACTTCCCTTGTCCTGTAACTATTTTGCTTAAAGGAACACATTTTCACAGACACAAAAATGATTCTATCACCTGATAACAGCCAGTAAATGAAGAAGAAAAAACTGTTCCTCAAATCCCTGCGTGAGCGTCGACAAAGAGCCCAAAAAAGGGAACCCTTGGTCCTGATGTCAGTACACAGGGAACCCCCCTACTACTACTATTACTACGCTGGCAACTAGGGAAGGTTCATACTCATAACAACGCGCTCCACATTAACAAGCAAAAAGTCACCAAACTCATTGATTAAACACTGCTCACATGTTCTTAAACTGGACGAGCCCCCAATTTGCTTAATTAAATTAAATAATTCTCTCTTAAGGGTTTCATAAGATAAGATTTTAAGATGGGGGTTATTTCGTCAAGAAAATAATCACTATGGTCCCTTAGGTCCTTACATATATTCATTAGAAGATGTATAATATGTGAGATCCCTTCATTCCAGGAAATATGAGTTGGAAATAAGAGTGTCCATTTTTGAGCCAGAAATGTTTTAGAGGATATCAAATAGCAGGGGTGGAAATAACTAATTACAACTGCTCACATTACTGTAATGAAGTCATACGTTTGTGTATTTTACTTTTCTTTTTTTACTTTTTATTGTAAGTATTTTTTAAGCATGTCATTTTTTTTTTAAAGTCCAGAAAGCTGTTTGCTTCCACAGACCTGTAAAAACAGTCAGACAGGTGGTTTTCTTTTGCTGGTTTTGGCTCTTGCCACCCTGGGACTAAGTCAGCTAACGTTAGCTGCACGAGCTAACAGCATTTAACATTACTGTTGGTGACAGTTTATTCTTAGCAACGAGTCCATAAGGAAACTCCATCAATCACCTCGGTACCGCTGTCGTCAAATGGTCCTCTGTCTGTCTCGGAGGTTGTGTTCACTGGGAGGCTGCTGATATTATTGGTTGACATTAGTTACAGTACAGTACAGTTAGTTCATGCGTATGTAAGCACGCATCACATTTTGTTTTACAGCAAGGCAAACGTTTGGGATTTTGATATAAAAATAGAAAGAAATTGAGTTTTTGTGAAATTTTTGGTATACATTGTTAAATAGGTGTACAATACAATTGTCTGTTTGTAACATGTATTTTTTTTTATAATTTTAACAATCATACAGATTTAAAAGGCTTCTTTTTCGACAAATGTACTGTTTTCTTGTCCCTGACGTTTGAGCATTGTTCTATTAGACAATTAGTCAAAACAGTTGACTTAACATTCACATTTACTTGAACCAATTGCTGAGATATAGGCCTACTGTGTACATTTTCATTTAGTTTTCTTACATGCCTTAAAATGAAGAATACCTATTGACCCCCCCGATTTGATTTCATGTGCCGGTCCAAGGTAGATGTATGAATATCTTTGCATCCATATGTGAAAGATTGTGTTTTTCTTTGTCCAAACACACAATACACGAGAGTATATGAAGTGTTAGCATAAGTGGGGTGTTGAAAGTGACTGGCTCAGAAACATTGTTATCCTTCATTTTGACAAGTAACTTTAATTAACATCTTGGGATTTGTTGGGATTTTCAGAATAAACTAAAGAATGCTGCTGTGCTGTTACAAGCAGCTTTCATCTACAAAGAACTATGGGTCTGTGGGGTATAGTACTGTCAGCCACATTATTTCATTTTACTGTATTTGTGTGTAGATAATCACTGTATATACAACAGATCATGAATAGAATCAGCAAATCTCACTCTATCTCACTCTCAAAACCTCACTTTTTAAAATGAAATTGTTTTTTCTTTAAAGTTGAATAAATAAAAATTTGTTAAGAAATCACATGTAATAATTGAATGCCGATTTTGGCCTTGGCTGGACCTGAGAGAGAAGGTGAGCGTTTCCACTGACAGCAGAGATTGTACATGAGAACAGGTCTGATGGTCTGGTCTCTGAGGCCATAGATGAGAGAACTCAGACACCTGGGAAGGATAATAATACAAATATAAAAAACAATCTGGATGCGCACAGTCATGACCCTGCCAAGGTTTTTGGAGATAGAGAATAGCAACGGATCGTGTATGGTTGAGGAGAGACTGAGGCCCAGCTGTACCAGATGCAGCAGCAGTGTGTTACGAGCCTTACGGGCTGAAGCTTTGTCTGTGGAGGCTGACCTGGCTGCTATCACCACACCAATATAGGAAGAAATAACTGCAACACCAGCTGAAACAAACACAAAACCAGTGTATACTTTGTCATAAATATCAGACATTGGGCCAAGAAGCATTGCTAGGTCAGTGCAAAAGTCTTTCATCTGCAGACTCTCCAGGTCTGAAAATGGAAAATCTAACAGCAAAAGAAGTTGAATAAAGACATTTAGTGAATTGAAGGCCCAAACCACAATGATAGCCACCCCTGTGTTTCTGATGGTGATGATGGTAGCATGCCTCAGTGGGTAGCACACAGCTACATATCTCTCCAGACACATCACCACCAGTGTGAGAGGGGAGATCTGATTTGAGAGGTTGCTGAACATGGTGAGAACACCACACACAGGATACGACATTGTTACTCTACAAGCAGCCAGTAGGTACATTAACTGACTCTGTGCCAACTGTACAGTGTCTGCAAAAAGTAGGTTATACAGAAGAATGTAACGAGAGGTCTCACGAAACACAGATTTACTCCTCAGGGTGAATAACATGGTCCCATTAATGAAGAGAAACACACATGATGGTACTGTAGTCAGAATGGAGAACATCACTAATCCCAGTAACCCCTGATACTGCACACCAACAGTAAAGTTAATCTGAGACTGATTTACATCCAACATTTTACAAGCATTTAACAAACCAAAAATATTAACCTGTTGATGAAAATTGGAGCACAGAAGCAAACGAAATTTTCTCCAGATTGTATTCGGAACAGTGACAACATCTCATCGTTATCGTTCACATTCTAAACCCAAAGGCATTAACATACATTTTCCTCGTGCAGACAGTTGGCTTTCTTCCACACAGTCAGAGCCGGTCTGCAAATGATGTTTTAGTTTTTATAGACACCTTCGTCCTGTGGCATCGTCATCAAATGGGCAGGGATACAGATTTCAAGGAATTCCTGGATGTGGTAATAATCAATAAGTCGTAAAATGTTTTAAAAAGTAGTTTATAACATTTATCTTTATATACTACTGGTACATCCAAGTACTCTGAGTGAGAACATCTGTTATTACCAGTTAAACAGAAAATAGGTATTACTGGTAACAGACAACAGACTGAAGATAACAAGCGTACAAAGCATGTAATATGTAAGCGTTTAATTCAATGCCATGTCTGAATATAACAGAGGACTGCTATAATAACTTTAGTCCCTCCTGAATTGATAATTTTGTTAAAGGCATACATTGAAGTTTTCCGGTTTTGTCAAACAGTTACCCCTAGAGTCGCTGCGGAGTACTTGTATTTAACGTTAACTGTCGTAAATACCACTCACCAGAGCCGTCTCTATATACGGCTCTGCGTCTCTGCACTCACGGCCTTATCCCCTCCCCCCTGTATACTGGTACATGTTCAGTAGGATGGAAGCGTCGGATATCGAACAGGCAAAGTAGACTCCGAAGATGTCTACTGACCAGGTAACGTCTGAGTGAATGCCTGCTAGTGTCTTCCATTGAGGCTGCTTCTTATGTCGCTGATGTATGTGACGTCGTGCAGTAAAGCCATTCGCCACCTTTCAGACTTGCATTGCTGGTTCTGCCAACGGCGTCCCTCTCCTGCTTTGCTATCGGGATGATTCGCTATACTACGAGTTTGTTTACCATCGAAATGACTTAGAAGCTGTTATATTAAGGTAAAAATCTTGCATAGTGTGCCTTTAATAGTGCTGCAGGTTCACTGCGAACAACATTAGTTTCTATTGCACCTATAAAATATTAAAACATAGGTGACTAGCACCGTGGTACTACCACCAAACCTGCCAATTAAAGCAAAAGCTTGGAAATCTGAAAGGAAATGGTGCTCTTCGAAATTATTAGAATATCATTCAATTTGGCAAGATAATCTTAAAACCTATAGAAAGGCCCTCCGTAATGCAAGAGGAGCCTATTACTCAGCACTAATAGAAGAAAATAAGAATAACCCTAGGTTCCTCTTCAGCACTGTAGCCAGGCTGACAGAGAGCCACAGCTCTATTGAACCACATATCCCCATAAACTTAAGTATCAACGATTTCATGAGCTTCTTTTATGATAAAATTATTACTATTAGAGACAAAATTAATAACCAACTGCCCTCAACAGATATCACTGTCTCTCCAAGATCAGGAACTTTAACAAATGTAAAATCAGATATATAGTAAGACTGTTTTTCTGCTCACGATTTTCATCAGCAAACTTCAATAATTTCTACATCGAAGCCATCTGCAGCCAGACTGCTTAAAGAAGTCGTACCCTTAATTGGCACTTCCTTACTGGATATGATCAATATTTCTTTATTGTCAGGATATGTACCACAGTCCTTTAAAGTAGCTGTAATTAAACCCCTTCTTAAAAAGCCCACTCTTGACCCAGGGGTTTTAGCCAACTACACCGATTTCTAACCTCCCCTTCCTCTCTAAGATTCTGGAGAAAGTAGTCGCCAAACAGTTATGTGACTTTCTACATAACAATAGCTTATTTGACGATTTTCAGTCAGGATTTAGAGTTCATCACAGCACAGAGACAGCTCTGGTTACAGTTAATAACAACCGTTTAATTGCTTCTGACAATGGACTTGTCTCTGTTGTCGTGAACCTGCTATAGGGTTATGACAAAGGAGGGAGACCACACAGAGAATTTAAATGTTTTAAACAAAAAGAAGTTTAATTAAACAATATTCACGGTCACAAATCATAATATGTATATGTACGTCAGTGAGATCAGTAGTGTAGTGAGTGTGTGTGTGTGTGTGTGTGTGTGTGTGTGGACTTGGGTGAAGAGTGTGTGGAAAAAGGTAATGCATATCTCTTCAAATACCAAAGACTATCAAAAAACCAAAGACAGCAACAAACCAGGAACCTGCTGACTGGAAGGAGAGAAAGAATGATTACAAATCAGCCATTTATAAAGACCAGCAATCAGGACACACCAGGTGTAGACCATCTAATGGCCACACCCTCTGCCACTCTGTCTCCTGGAAAGAAGGGAAAAAGACCCAGACCAACCAGAGGGGGGAGGGGTCATCACACTGTACTTGTACTATTAGATCTTACAGGCGAGCTGTCAGGAATCACTTCTGGAGTCATTCCAGAAACAAGGTAAACTCCAGGCAGACAACGTGAAGGCTAAAGGGATTACCGAGTGTGTGTGTGTGTGTGTGTGTGTGTGTGTGCGTGCGTGCCTGCGTGCGTGCGTGCGAGTGTGCGTAAGATGTTATTGCACTTTTCTTATATTTCAGATAATTGACATTTTAAAACCTTGATTTGTTGATACTACAAGAGCCAGTGTACTTGATTTGTGCTGTTCAGATGCACACTGTTTTATTGATAGTGTGTGTGTGTGTGTGTGTGTGTGTGTGAGATGTTTACACTTATTGCACTTTTCTCATATTTCAAGACTCAAATATCTGACATTTTGGGAATTTAATAAATATTGACATGACAATCAATTTGAAACCCTTACAGTTGCATATTTGTTTTCAGGATGGGATTTTTCCTGTTAACAGGATTTCCTGTTTTTCGGACTTCCTTTTCTGACCTTTCAATTCAATTCATTTCAATTATATTTGTATAGCGCCAAAAAAGTGTCCTGAGATAACTTCTGTTATGAGTTGGCGCTATACAAATAAAACTGAATTGAAGAATGAAACTGGCTGTATCATAGTCACAAGCAGATTTCAGTTAATTCATCTGATATGATGATTAAAAGCAAAATTTTCCCCCAAAGTACAATGTGGACCTTTCAAACAAATTTATGAGGATGTTTCAGGATTCATTTTATTTATTTTAAATTTAATGAGGAATTTAATGTCATTATTTGACATTTAATAAGGACAATGGGTGTAGGAATGTTTCCTTTCTTGAAATTCACAGTTTATTTTGTTTATTTTGACTAAAAAAGATAAAAGGGCTTATATTCTTCTGTGGAAGAAATTCTTTTCACCATAAAGTCTGGAAGAATAAGAATCAGGTTTGTTTGAGAGAAAGTTCAGGAAGTGGCACAGCTCAATCTATGCAACTTAAACTGTCTTAAACAGGAAATCAACAGAAATACTTACCGCTGTCTGAGCTCAAATATCATTCGCTCTGCTCTCAGGTCAGTTTGTCTGGTTGTTTGTTTGTTTTTTGGTTTGCTGATTGTTTTTCTTGCAGGTTTTTATGGTTGTATTTGTTTGTTTATTGTTTTGTTTGTTTTTGTTTGTTGGTTATTGGATTTATTTTTCTTGTTGGTTATTCTGAAATAAAAGACCGTGTCTGTAGCACAAGTACAATAATATTCCGTGTTACTAATTTATTACAGATGTTGCAAGTTTACTTCGAGATTTGACAGTTTAGTTACTTTTGGTCATTTTATGTATTGTTGAAATCGCCACAAATTCAGTTTTTCTTTCATTAGAGAGGAAATTGTTGCAGTTTGAAAGTTCTGCTGTTCCATGCTGTATGTGGAAATATATGTGGCTAAATCACTCTGTCTGTTCTGACTGACTTTTCCATTAGTGGGTTTAACTCAAGACAAAATAAGGTGTGTCAGATCACAGCAGTGCCATTTTGCTCCTGTCAGACACAAAAGAGACTGCTGTCAGCCATCTTGTTTTGGACAAGCAACTTCAGGCAATTTACTGAATGATGAAATCATGTCTATAATAATAATAAGAAGAAGAAGAATCAAATAATTCCTAATGTGAGTAAGTGATGAAAACATCACAAGTTTGTTTGATCGCTGATATTTAAAAATCACAAGGAAAGAGCTCTTTTCTCTGCATCAACTATTGTTCCTTTTTAACTTTTAAAATGTGAATCAAGAGTCTAGCTTTGCTTTTAAATTTGTATCATTTTGTCTGATCAATGTTGATGATCAGTATTCACAACTGTATTCAATTCAGTTTTATTTGTATAGCGCCAATTCATAACAGAGGTTATATCAGGACACTTTTCAAATAGAGCAGGGTTAGACCAAACACTTCTTCATGTTCATCGTCATCAATCACTACTATTAGTGTAGTTGTTGCTACTGTTGTTGCTGTGCTAAATAAATATATGATTTTACATTTGTTAAAATTCCTGAAATTGGAGAGAGAGTGACACATGTTGAGGGCATTTGATGATTGATTTTTTTTTCTCTAATAATAATACAATTCATTTCAATTCAATTCAATTTTATTTGTATAGCGCCAATTCATAACAGAGGTTATATCAGGACACTTTTCAAATAGAGCAGGTCTAGACCGAACTCTTTAAAACAATAATTACAGAGACCCAACAGTACCACCATGAGCAAGCACTTGGCGACAACGGCAAGGAAACACTGCCTGTTAAAAGGCAGAAACCTAGGACAGATCCTCCGGCTCTAGGTGGGTGGTCGTCTGTCTCGACCAGTTGGGGTGAGAGAGAGAGAGAGAGAGAGGCAGAGAGAGAGAGAGAGAGAGAGAGCGAGAGACAGACAGACAGACAGGTGCACAGCAACAACAGTATTGGCAATGGCAATCTAGCAGGACCATGGCAGGAGGCTCCACCAGGATCGACAAGAACCTGCGAGACGAGAAAGCACAAGAACTCCGGGGAAGAAGTGAAGTTAGTAACATGCATTAATGGAACATGTATGAGTGCAGAAAGAGAGAGGAAGGGAGGAGCTCAGTGCACCATGGGAAATCCCCCGATAGTCTAGGCCTATAGCAGCATAACTAACTAACCTATAGCTTTATCAAAGAGGAATGTCTTAAGCCTACTCTTGAATGTGGTGAGGGTGTCTGCCTCCCGAACCACAACTGGAAGCTGGTTCCACAGGAGAGGAGCTTGGTAACTGAAGGCTCTGGCT